GACAAAAAGCCGAATTGCTCCGACAGGAGGTCGAAAGAGAAACCGAGACGTTCAAGACGAAGATTTTGCCAACTACAGATACCCGACAGAAAGCTGCATCTTTGCTGGCCTCCCAGATCGTGACCGCTGGGACAAATTTTATGATGATTTCATGCCTGCTTTTGGCAAATGTAGCAGAAACGATGGTAAAGTATGTCGGCACGTCTTTCCATCGTGGTACACGTACGGCTTTAAAAACGGGATGCCCGTGCTGGAGATCTACAAAGTTAGGTTACGTATCCAGAATGCGGAAGAGGCAAAGATAAAGTACCGGGCAGAGGTTTCTAAACCGAGTTTGTTGTACGGTGTAATTTCAGTCGGAAGTTCACATACAAAACCTGGACGGCGAAGTGGGGGGGATTTCTTGTACAAGGTCGAAAGAAATGAATCATCCGCCCACATGGAATTCTCAGGTGATATGTTTGAGATTCCGTTGAACTTAAAGCAGCCCTATCCTCTCCTATCTGACACAACCATATCGGTTGCTCTGAAGCTTAATGGTGTTGATTTGATTGGATGTGATCAGGAAGAAGATGAAGAATTGATGTCCCCCCCCTACGACTTTGAAGGTGAAGAAATCGCTTGTGGCAGATTGGATTTTTTTGCTACAGCTACCTGGGAATTGGTAGATTCATCTGTGCTAAACAATTTAGTCCGGAGAACTCATTTTGATGCAACCAGAGAAGATGGAAAAGGTGTGGTTTGTCCCAATCCCATCGCCGTCTATGTGGATTATGGTGTGCTTGTAGGTCTAACAGCTAAAGTGACGTCCGTCACTATCTTGGATCCTTCCGTTACTGCTGTGTCCGGACATATTTCTGCCTCATTTTGCTCCTTGGACCCGGAGGTTGAAGTCCTTCTTTTCAAAGGCAGCCAGCGAGAGTTGGAACCAGTTACCCACACAGTTGCCCTTTCGAGATCATTCGTAGCTGTCCCGTACACTTCCTATCTCCTCCTTCAAGTCCAGCTGCATGATCAACACGGGAAACTCATAGTCAGTGGTACTTTTGCCTTCCCTCCCATTACAGAATCAAACTTTGTCTCCAAAACAGAAAATATCAGCATCTGTGTGGAATTCCTAGATAGCCCCCCACAGGCTTCCCCGGATGCTTATTAGGGCATCCCCATCCAAGGGATTATTTAGAGATTATTTTGATGATGTGGATGATATTTTTTTAGATTATGGTTGAGATGTTGGGATTATTTGAAGAGATTATTTGATAAAATAATCTTGTATCAAATTCTAAAACTTGATTATTTTGAGATTATTTTCAACTGTTAGGCTCCTCTCCCCATTTTCTAGGCAGACTCATAATTAAGGTGATGACTAGTTTTGTAGTTTGTGCATGTCTCATAAAAAACCTAAGTAAATTAAGATCATCAATGAGGAGAAATTGATAGGTTTGGAAAGTATTTGAGATTTTCTTAAGTGGAAGTGACATGGCAATAACAATGTATAAAAAACCGTAAAATTGAGTATCATGAAAGGAGATGCTTTTAAACAACTTGTTCTTCCAAGAATTTATGTCGTGCTCCCTACTACTGCGTGCTCTATTTAATTACTCTGTATTTTATGAGTAACAAATGAATTGAAGACTACTTGCGTTGGAGGATGTAATAAACACATAATGTCTAATTTGATGAGTTGACTTATTTTTCATAGACTAAACATACACACACAAGTATATTTGGAGTATTACTTTATACATACACAAATTTATTTCTATGTAACCAGAATCGGACCGGATTGGGCGGGTTAACCCGGAAACCGATGCAGTTGTATACTAACCCATGAATACAAGTAAAACCGGAAAAACCCGCTAGCCCTTTTTGACCCAGGCCGGACTTGTGACTGTCCAAACCTGAGAAAAACCTACGTGTGGCATTGCAAATAGAAGGGGTATTGTACTAATTATATCGTACAAACGCCTATACCTTGAGCATGGTACAGTCGAATGTTTTTGTAATATACGTAGTATTTGAAATCCAAGGCTATTTTGTGGGTAATGTGCTCCCAACCTCCCCGCATGTAACCTTTTCATCTTCTTACGTTAATCTTTTTTCTCCGCTGCGGCAGTGTGGCTCGCTGCGCATCAGGATTGTTTTACCCTTTTTCTTTTCTCTTCATTTCTTTTCTTATTTCGTTACTTTGGGTGTTTTGCTTCTATCTTTTTGTTTATTTTTTTTGTTCCTTTTCATTTCTTTACTTTTTCTTTAGCAAACTTTTACTTTTTTTTATTGAATTATTATGATTATATAAAATACCGTAGTATTATTTATTGTTGACTTTTTTCTTTCACTTTTAAATCAACCTTCTGTCTTAAATTTTTTAATCTGTGCATTATAAAATATTTTAGGTATTAATGTTTTATTTCTATTTTAATTTTAAGATGAATATTTATTAGTTTATTAAATATTGTGTGTTAATTACTAACATGAGTTTTATGTTATACAGAGTACTAAAATGAGTGTAACTTAAAATAAATGTGCATACACAATACTTAATAACGAATCCACTAGATGTACATATTATACAAAATACCTTATGTTATATTCGAATGAGTATAATGACTAAAAAAATGAGCATACACAATTGAATATTTGAACACATCAGAAAATTTAAATTACCTTTTGAATCTTCCAAAGCTCATTTTGTAAGTTACATATGTTCATCTGACATTGGTCTTATGCTCATTTTAAAATGTTATATCAATAAATATTTTCAAAAGAGCCTTATTACATTAGATTCACGTAAGAATTGATTATAATATGGGGGGCACAAATTATGATGCTCAATTGCATTTTTCTAATACGCAATAAAAGATGTTTGATGCTCAACGAAAATGTGTCAACGTTCAACTAAAAAACTTATGACTTTCATATTAATGCTCATTTTAAAAATGTCATAATAATGCATATTTCAAAAGTATCATATTATATTAGATTCGCATATTGAAATTCATAGGAATTGATTATAGATAAAATGTAATGAGCTTTTATAAATGAAAAAATAAGAAAAAGAAATTGAATTACAATATACGAAGGGGAAAATGGAAACTAATAATCCAACCTTTTAGCGGTCTTCTTTTAATAGTCCCACCTTTTCGTTATTCGTGAATAATCCAACCTTTGCACCTCATCTTCATTCATTGGTCCCTGACCGGTTGATGACCTACTATTCCAAGTTATTTTCTTATCTTTGCAAAATATTATCTTTGTGAAAGGTGGAATTTATGGTATAATAGTTTGCAGAGATAAGAAAATAACTCGGAATAGCAGGTCATCAACCGGTCGGGGACCAATCAATGAAGATGGGGTGCAAAGGTTGGATTATTCATGAATAACGAAAAGGTCGGACTATTAAAAGAAGACCGCTAAAAGGTTGGATTATTAGTTTCCATTTTCCCTATACGAAGTTGATATCACAATACTCATTATTCGATACTTAATGCTCAGTAGAATACGTCTGATGCTTATTAAAGGTGTAGTAATGCTCATCAAAGAAAACCACGATTTTCACTGAAATTACGAAAATGCCACCATTTTTTAGTTGTGATGTAAGTTTTCATGTAATAACATGATGCTCATTATTAGATGCTTTAGTACTCATTAAAATTGGACTATTATTCATTAGCAGTACACTAATACTCATTTAGCAGAAACCGCGATTTTAACATTAATTACAAAAATGCCACCGAATTATTTTGTTATTTTTCCAATGACTTGTTACTGGGCCGGGTATACAACGCTCACCGTAGAGCCGGGTGTACCATATATACTAGGGGTATCGGCACTCCACCAACCATGCTATTTGGAATAATGTGCTCTTTTACAGTACTTATTTCTTTAGCATACATAGTACAGTATTAATTAATTCACACTACAATAATCGATATTGTAATTATTTGGATATATAATATTTGTATTGCACTAAGTGTCACTAACCGATTGTGTATATCAAATTTCAAATATAAGCAAAAAATACTTATATAAATTATATAATACGTAGTATTTTTAAGTAATTATAGGTGCAGTTATGTTCATATTATTTTTGAAAAAGTATACTATATTCCAAATATCAAATATTTTAGAATATCAAATAATTATGAAAAATTATTTTAATTTTTTTTTATACATGTACTTAAAAATATCAAATAACATTATTGATATAGTAAGTATTTTCGATGCTTCGTGTTACTAAAGTTAATTGATTATTGTGCATAATAAGTACCCTTTTTAATTATATATATATATATATATATATATATATATATATATATATATATATATATATATATATATATATATATTATTACATACTTATTGTTATACTAAATTACATACGTTGATTGGATTTTCCTGGCGTTGACCAGGTTGACCCACCGGGTCTGGCCTAACTCGTGACCAGGTCATTCGTCCAAGTCGCTTCCCGGTCTGATTCTCATAACATAGGTTTATTTGTCTAATTTGATGAGTTGGTATATTTGACTTTATACACACACAAGTGATATATTTAATTCAGGGGCGACCCTCTATGTTCAAAGGGCTAGGGGCGAAAAATTAAAATGGACCTAATGTTACAAAAAATAGTAGAACTTTTTTCTATCAAAACTGACATGCAAAATAATAATAACAATAATAACAAGACATTATAAAAAAAAATTGTAAACCCTATTCAGTCTAAACCAATTATATTATGGTATTAGTGATCCTTATTTAAGAAGAAAATAATTGTGATCCTATTTGTACATTTTACCAATGTTTAAGTCATATTTAGAAAAATAACTCTTAATATTATCAACTCCTAAGTTCCACCGTTTGTAATCATTTTGAATCATTTCTCTTTCAGTAGCAAAATTATTGTTTTCTATGAGTTGCCATCTTGAAGAGGACATTCAGAATTTAAATTATTTACAAAAACAAACTTTGCCATCTTGAAGAGGACATTCAAAAATTATTTGGGAAAATTACAAAAAAAATATGTGCTTCAATTCCGTTATCACAGCAGAGATATGACTGTATGGGTAACACTGTTAGAAAATTTAAAACATTAAAAGAAAAATTTTGAGAGGTGAAGCCCCAGCCAACAACGAAGATGAGGAAGAACCAAATTAAAGTTGAAACCCTTTCTTTGAGTCTGAGGTCTGAAGGATTCAACCGTCACCCAATACCTCTAATCTAATGGATCTGGTTGCGATTGAGGAGACAAAAAGCCGAATTGCTCCGACAGGAAGTCCAAAGAGAAACCGAGACGTTCAAGAGAAAGATTTTGCCAACTACAGATACCCGACAGGAAGATGCATCTTTGCTGGCCTCCCAGATCGTGACCGCTGGGACAAATTTTATGATGATTTCATGGCTTCTTTTGGCGAATGTAGCAGAAACGATGGTAAAGTATGTCGGCACGTCTTTCCATCGTTTTACACGTACGGCTTCAAAAACGGGATGGCCGTGCTGGAGATCTACAAAGTTAGGTTACGTATCCAGAATGCGGAAGAGGCAAAGATAAAGTACTGGGCAGAGGTTTCTAAACCGAGTTTGTTGTACGGTGTAATTTCAGTCGGAAGTTCATATACAAAACCTGGGGAGAAAAGTGGAGGGGATTTCTTGTACAAGGTTGGAAGAGATGAATCCTCCGCCAACATGGAATTCTCAGGTGATATGTTTGAGATTCCGTTGAACTTAAAGCAGCCCTATCCTCTCCTGTCTGACACAACCATATCGGTTGCTCTGAAGCTTAATGGTGTTGATTTGATTGGATGTGATCAGGAAGAAGATGAAGAATTGATGTCCCCCCCCTACGACTTTGAAGGTGAAAAAATCACTTGTGGCAGATTGGATTTTTTTACTACAGCTACCTGGGAATTGGTAGATTCATCTGTGCTATACAAATTAGTCCGGAGAACTCATTTTGATGCAACCAGAAAAGATGGAAAAGGTGTGGTTTGTCCCAATCCCATCGCCGTCTATGTGGATTATGGTGTGCTTGTAGCTCTAACAGCTAAAGTGACGTCCGTCACTATCTTGGATCCTTCCGTTGCTGCTGTGTCCGGACAGATTTCTGCCTCATTTTGCTCCTTGGACCCGGAGGTTGAAGTCCTTCTTTTCAAAGGCAGCCAGCGAGAGTTGGAACCAGTTACCCACACAGTTGCCCTTTCCAGATCATTGGTCGCTGTCCCTTACACTTCCTATCTCCTCCTTCAAGTCCAGCTGCATGATCAACACGGGAAACTCATAGACAATGGTACTTTTGCCTTCCCTCCCATAACAAAATCAAACTTTGTCTCCAAAACAGAAAACATCAGCATCTGTGTGGAATTCCTACATAGGCCCCCAGATGCTTATTAAACAACTTGTTCTGCCAAGAATTTATGTCGTTCCATGCTCCCTACTACTGCGTGCTCTGTTTAATTACTCTGTGTTTTACGAGTAACAAATGAAGCTCCTTGTACGTGCACTTCTACTCACTGATATATGTTTTACATTGTGTGTCTTTTTTGTGCTAGTAACTTGAGGTTATTACATTTCAGGTATGAACTAGTATGGCACCCGTGCATACGCACGGGAAAGAGCAGTTGGTGCATATATTTGTACTCATGATCAAATTAAATATTAAAATAAAAATAACTGTTTAGGATTCTATATTTTCAAAAATAAGAGTATGATGAGCTATTACCATAAAATATAAGCCCATATAATAAATACTTAATGAAGAGTATATTAGCGAAAATTGATTGATGCCACTCATTGGAATTTGCTACTTATTAATTTTCATGATTAAGTTAATTTTAAAATTAAATATTATTCTAAAGAAGTGAGTAAAATAAGTGAGTGACATAATATTTACGTAAATATAATAAAATATTAAAGATAATAATATTAGCTAAATAGAATATTGCCATTTAAATTAGTGCTAACATATAAGAAAGAAAATTATCCTGCTAAATTGTTAGTCGTCTTATTTTATACCTAAAAATGCGGTTAATTCTGATTTTGTGCATATTTGCGGGTTTACACTCAATCAGACCGGTTCTGAGACCGGGTGCCCGGGTTTTGGGTCGAACCGCTCGTTCCGGTCCGGTTATCTTAACACAGCCTAAAAGAATTAAATATGAGAAAAAATTATCTCGCTCAATTGTTAGTCGGCTTATCAAATACTTAAAAGAATTACATATGTGAGAGAATTTCTCCATTCAATTATGAGCAAGTTTATCTTCTAATACGTAATAGGACTAAATGTTAGAGATAACATTCTCCTACTCAATTATTAGCAAACTTATCTTTTTTATCCAAAAGCACTACATATGAGAGAGAATTCTCCCGCTCAATCATTAGATGACTTCTTCTTATACCTAAAAGCAGTACATATGGGAGAGAAAGTTCTCCCGCTCAATTGTTAGCTGAATTATCATACTTAAAAGAACTACATATGAGGGAGAAATTTTCCCGTTCAATTGTTAGCAAGCTTATCTTCTTATCTTCATCTTCATCTTCATATACCTAAAAGCACTACATATGAGTGAGAAAGCACTTCATATCACGTGCAACTGTGAGCCGGTTTATCTTATAACGAATACTTAAAAGAACAACATATAAGAGATAAAGTTATATCTCAATCAAATGTTAGTAAACTTATCTTCTAATACCTAAAAACACTACTTATGAGAGAGAACATTCTCCTGCTCAATATTCTCTCTCAATTGTTAGCAAATTTATCTTCTAATATGTAGAAGCACTACATATGAGAGAGAAGATTTTCCTGCTCAAGTATTAGCAAGCTTATCTTCTTATACCTAAAACCACTACATATGAGATATATTCCCGCTCAATTGTTATCCAACTTATCTTATAACTAAAAGCACTACATATGAGAGACAAAATTCTTCCGTTCAATTGTTAGTTGGTTTATGTTATACTCCCTCCGTAACTTAAAAATCTTCCCACTTTCCTTTTTCGTCCGTAACAAAAAAATCTTCTCATTTCTAAATCTTCCCATCATATCCTCAATAATTCTTAAAATAATACACTATTACAACTACTTTTTTTGGATTTATCCTACATTCCACCACATTATTCCACTATTTTCCCATCATACCCTCAATAATTCATATCATCTTTCACTATTCTTAATCTACCTACTTTTGAAATGGGAAGATTTAAAAGTTACGGAGGGAGTACTTGAAAGAACTACGTATGAGAGAGAAAGTTATTCTGAACCATTGTTAGTGAACATATCTTCTAATACCTAAAAGCGCTACATATGAGAGAAAATTTATCCCGTTAAACTTTCTTGCTCAACTGTTAGCAAACTTATTTTCTAATACGTAGAAGCACTACATGTGAGAGAGAAATTCTCCTGCTCAATTATTAGCAAGTTCATCTTCTTATTTCAAAAAAAAAACCACTACATATGAGAGATAAAATTTTCTCGCTCAATTGTTAGCCAGTTTATCTTATAACTAAAAGCACTACATATGGGAAACAAAATTCTTCCGCTCAATTGTTAGCTGACGTATCTTATACTTAAATGAACTACACATGAGAGAGAGAGAGAGAGCGTTTCCGCTCAATTGTTAGCAAAGTTATCTTTTAATACCTAAAAGCACTACATATGAGAGAGAAACTTTCCCTGATCAATTTTTAGCAAGGTTGTTTTCTAATATGAGAGAGAAAATCCCCCCACTCAATTATAGGCAAGCTTATCTTTTTATTATACCTTGATCCAAAAGGTGGAATCTCCCACCCTCGGAGCCCCCACGCCCCGACCCGACAGGGCACATGGGAGGATGTAAATTTACAGAGGTCCATATACCCGTGCGTGCCACAGGTCCAACCCATTTTAGAGGTTGTAACATCCACATGGTCGCTGCGGGATTCGAACTTCTTTATTATAGCTAAAACCACTACATATGAGAATAAAATTCTCCTGATCAATTGTTAGCTATCTTATCTCATAACTAAAAGCACTACATATGAGAGACAAAATTACTCTCCTCAATTGTTAGTCGGTTTATCTTATACTTAAAAGAATTTTATATGACAATAATATCATATATTGAACATCTTTTTCATTTAGAATTTTATTTAGAGTTAGTTTGGTAACACATAAATTGGTAAAATAGATTGAAATTGATGATTTTCTAGATTAAAGCGCTGAACTCGTTGAATCTACTAAATTATGCAAAATTTTATACTTCCTCTGTTCGGTTTTAAGTGCAACATGCACTTGGGCACAGATATTAAGAAGCAACAAAATGTGTTAATTTAGTCTGTTTTACCCTTCACCATACCGATAGATGAAATGATGTGTTAAGTAATACCTACAGTATTCAATAGTGGACAAACGTTTTACAGCCAAGCAAACTAACAGCACCCACTTGCTCAATCATTCATTCCACTTGCGAGGGAATATAAAAAAATCCTCCATCTTCATCTACTATCAGACTAATTATATTCATACTAACAAAGTTTGCTTCCATTCCATTTACGGCCACAAGATAACAAAAAAAACCGTGCACTCTTGATAGCGAAAAAACAAAAAAGAGCACTGACAGACATCAAGAATGGAGGAGCAAATTTCTGTAGAAGAACTTCTTCAACTAGAGGGCGGAGATGTATCTGATGATGGTTTCTACCCAGATGTTGAAGTTTTCTCATCTTTTTTTTCTGCAACTGAAAGTGAAGAGGAAGAAGAATCAGAAATAAATTCTGGTTGTCACAGTTTTACATCAACAAGTACAAATAAGCCAAACCTCAAAGTAACCGGAGAAAAATCGATTTCATCTTCGTCCATGTCTTCCATTCCGCACTAATTAAATTAAAGATGAGGGGAAAAAGAAAAATCGATTTCATCTTCGTCCATGTCTTCCATTCCGCACTAATTAAATTAAAGATGAGGGGAAAAAAACTAGAGAGATGTTGGGAAGAAAAAGAGAAATGGGGTGAGGAGAATCGCAGAAGGAAGATAGCATACAGAAGTTGGGTTGTAAAGTGATAGGAATAGGTGGGTGGTGGTGGGTTGAGAAATTAAAGCAAAATTGAGGAAATTGTCAGAAGACGGAAGAGCTAGGCGATAAATAACGAAGGGTATAAAAGTCATTTGCTTTGTATTTCCTTCCCAAAATGGAAATGTTGCATTTATTTTGAAACTGCCGAAAAAGGAAAGTGTTGCACTTATTTAAGAACGGAGGAAGTATGAAAAAGTAGCTAAAATTGTCCCGTACAGTAAATTCATTCAATTAAGGCAGAAAAATAATTCAAACCTTACTTATTTTGATCATTGTACAATCCAGTGTGGGAAATTAAAATTTACTTATATGTTAAAAAATTGATTGATAAGGTTGATAAATCCCTAAATACGTAATTTTAAATGAAAAAATGAACATATAAGCAGTTTATATTTTAGAAGAGCTAGTTTTTTTCTGGTAATCAATTTTTTTCTTTTTCTACATGCAATTTTCTTCCCATATGAAAGGTCAAAAAATTATGAATTTTGATATTTGTTTTTTAGAAATTACGACAAAAATGAAAAGTTAAAACACTGAAAAATTTGGGGGATTTATACCTTGGGCCCGCCAATGACATGACTTTATATTTCTTATTGCTCATTTTTTGTATGACTCTCATTTGAGCAACTTCATCACATTATGTGACATTTTAAACCCATTGATATATTTTACATTGACAATACTGTCATACACTGAACATCTTTTTCATTTAGAATGTTATTTAGAGTCTGTTTGGCAACACATAAAATGGCTGAATATATTGAAATTGATGAAGTTCTTATTGAAACTGCTTAACTGGCTGAATATACTGAATTATGGAAAAATTGAATTTAAAATATATTTATTTAAAAAATATACTCCGTCCCATTGGACTTTGCCAACTTTCCCTTTTTGGTTGTCCTAAAAAACTTTACCACTTTCATATTAAAACAACTAATTTATGGTTCTGCACATTTCTCTCTCCTCTGCAAAAAGCTCAACCACACAGTTTTTTCTTTTCTTATTTCTCACCTACTTTGCACTTGGCAAAGTCCACCGGGGCGGAGGTAGTATAAACATTTATTTGAAACATAAGCTAAAATTTTCGTTTATTATAACTTCATTCAATTTAGGTAGAAATTTAACGTCAACCTTTCTTATTTTGATCATTACACAATTCAGTCTACGAAATAAAAAATTAATTATTTGATGAAAAATTGACAGATAAAGTTGACAAATCCAAAACAGGGTCACCAAACGGCACATAATTTCAAATGAAAAATGAGCATATAAACATTTTTGTATTATATAATGGCTAGTCTTTTTTATCAATTATCCTTTTTTAATCTATTTATATTCAAAGTAGTATAACCTTTTTATTTTAACTTTAACTTTTACAAAATATATTAAAATTCATAATTCTTGTGACCTTTGCAATAGACACTTGGGAATATAAAACTGTTTAAATTGGTATGAGTATACTTTTATAGTCACTTTGATATAATTTTTAACATAATTATAAATAGGTTGTTTAATAAATCTTTATATATATTTTTAATTTTTTATATGCAATACTGGAATGGTGTGTTCGGT